ATAAACGTTTTTTTTTTACATAAAATTTTATTGAAACTCATTAAATTAGTGTCAATATCATTTTTGCTATCCTAATTAATTTGCTTTATTTCTCATTGTCAAATTCACATATGTAAAGAATGAGAACAGTGTTTATATAAATTATGACATTATTCTAGCAGAATACATATTAATTAGTTCGAATAATTGATTACTTGTTATTTTCATTGAACTAAGAAAAAAAATAAATAATTAGTTGACTAAAGGAAAAAAAAGGAATAATGAAATTGTCTCAAATTGCGAAAAATAAGACAAAACGTAATTTAAACTTATTTTTTCTTCAAAAAACAATCAGTCAATCAACAGCAGCGTAGAACTCAGTACGTACGTACATCAGTTCAAGTTGCCATACCACATTAGCACAGAAATGTAATTGTCAATTCAAATCCCATAGTAGTAGAGGTAGTAAAGATATTAGCAGCAATTGGAAAGATTAGGGTTCGACGATATTATTCAAGAAGTATAATTCAGTGAGATAAGTTTAGAAAGAGAAAGATAAAGTGATGAGGAATTCAGAAGGTTAGCATTTGAGAGAACACAGAGGATGAATGCACATGCGCCATTGCAAACGGTTTTTAGTCATGTCATTCAGGGTCTCTAACAGTCATTACCATCATTTCACATTTTCTTCAAAACATTATGATTTGCATTAATTTGTTTCACCGATGAATAGATTTTTAATTTCATCCAGTTTTACACACTCATATTATAGCTAGTCTGTACATTTGAAATCGTTGTTCAGAATTTTTGATTTGAAAGTATCATTTAGCTGTGAACCGAGTAGATTAATGAATAGATCAGACATGTTTATACTGATGGATAAATATTGGTAAACATAAATTTTGAAAAATGTAATAATGGTGTAAAACTATCTAATAATAAGATCTTGCCTGGTAATTTTTTTGGATACGTTGTCCCATTTATAACAATTTGTGATCGAAACAGTTCATTAGATCTTAACTTGGGTAATAAAAGACATTTGGATATACTTACTGATAAATTAAACTGTATTAATGTATAAAAAAGAAAACAATATCTATTCAATTACATACCAATCTAATATGAATTTAATAATGAAATTCTTTATAATTGTATTTAGTTTCACAAAAAAACAAAAACGATTCTGTACTATCAATACTTTTATCAGATCAAAGAATGAAAATGAATTTGTACACTTATGAATAAAATTAATACTGTTCAGATAATATAATTACATTGTTGAGTATAATCAGTTCTTAAATTATTTTTTTTAAAATCATTTTAAGTTACTGAAATAATTTATTTTTAAGCCTTCACAGTGTCCAGAACTGCATGCACTACAGTAAAAGATAATTGTACCTTGGTAAATCAATCTATTTCAATATTTTACCAAACATGCATGTAAGAGATCACAATGAAAATATAAGCCAAGTTTAAATTGCAAAAGTATCTTATCACTGTTGATAAGGTGGTATCAGTGACAACCGAAGTGATTCTTATTTGTCTGGAATAAAAATGCAAATATTGTGAAACATTACATTTCAGTGGTAAGTATAAAGTTGCATGATTTTGTTATTAGTTACCATTCAATAGTTTGATGTAACCCTGTGTTAGTAAATGATAAAAATGTACAGTTTTATGAAATAAATAATCACTAAACGATTAGATCATCTGTAATTTTCTAGTAATGTTTATGGTTTGATAGTTTTCTGCAACTGGAATATCTCTGTTGTGTTGTACTAACTTTTGTATTCAGAAAGAATATATTGAATTAGTGGAGTAATACTGTGAGAATTGTTAGTTCTGATTTAGAAAATGATTATAAACGTTAAGTAAGCATCTATATTTGCAGATCTAAACAGTATGTACTCTTAATCGTACACCAAATATAAGGCTTTCATGGGAAACTGTGTATTGGTAAACTGTTAGATCGGCATATGAAACTCAATATTTAGCTGACTTCCAGTATGAAGTTGTGGAGAGTGAGTGACAAGTTTCATTGAAAAATCATCATAACGACACTAGTGATTAAATTCACGATAAAATTTCCTCAGTTTTAATGAGTTGTGACTAGAGAATTTCAATCATATTGAGCATGTGGAAGGTACACAATGAAGACAATAGACGATGGTCGCACAATCTTGTGAATTACGCCATTGGATAGAGACTCAGTGGTCTATGAGCTAAACGTTCGTGCACGAAACCGAGGGCTATGGGTTTGATTCCCTGGGACCTGGTTATTCAGAGCTTTCAGTAGTTGTTTAATTTAGGTAGGCTCATGATTCCAAATGAATTTTGTGGAGACTGATTTAAATCAAAGGTTTTCATCATCGATATTCTCATTTCATTTTATTTACACTATAATCCAACGAATATCAATTAGGATTCATCTTTATCCTTAATGAAGAGGATTCTACAGATTATTACTTTAAACTGGGACTGCGGAACATTCATCTATAGAAAGGTTACCACGGAAAGTGCAGAATTATTTGAAACATTTCTGATAAGTGAATAACAGAAAATAGATTCTGTTTTATTTATTTTACTCTTAAAATCATTCAAACGATTGATGTTGATCTCAATGGCAACTCCAAGAAACTATTTACTAATAATCATAGAAACCTTAAATGTATTCAGTCTATTCATCTCACTAAGCGTTTTCATTCTAAACATACATTCTATCCTAATGAGTGGATCCACGCTGATCTTAACTCATTGTGTTGAACACATCAGGTCAGTTGTGTTCATCTGTCTCCAGCAGAATATTGTTTCAAAATTATTTTTAATGTTTCAGAAATTGATTCTGCTTGAAGGTAATTATTATGCTAGTGCACAACACTTCACTGTAACCACATATTTTTCTCTTCTTTACCTTCTTCTTAGTCATCAAGTGAATAATCCTTCATATATATATCTCACTCTCGCCTTTTGGTGTATTATTTTAATTCTACTCTTCAGTTGACTAGTATAATAACCTTGATAATTTTTTTTAGAAATAACTTTGAGTCTCTTCTTCATTAATACAACCATTCAGTATTTTATAAATAGACAACGAAATGTAAGATCAACAATGAATACGGTGGTACAACTAAATGTAGTAGCATCTAAAGCACAACTTAAAAAATATTCCAATCTAATTGATCACTTGTTTATACCAAAAATGTCAAAGATAATTAAGCTATCACTATGAAAACAAGTATGTCCTTGACAAATGAAAATTAAATCGTAAGTTTAATGCATACAACACGGTACATAGACTTAAGCTATCACTATAGTTGTTGATCTGCGCTGATGAGTGGCCCTGCAATGGAAATAGAACCGATGTCCAATGATTCCTTAGTTTCAATGGTTGTTAATCCATGGTGTAAAACTTAATACGCCATAATGTTTACAAATTTCTAATACAAATAAATATCTTCAGATTAAGACTATCTAAAGAATCGATTGTAATCCAACGGTTATTTACAAACTTACTGATCTAACTATAAGCGGTAGCATTTTTCACGTGAATTTATATCGCTGCTGTAAACAAAATAAACAGAGTGCAAATTGAACTGGCCAGAACTATTACTATCATAACAAGTGCTAAGGTTCATTAAGGTTGTGCATAAATTTAAATTTCAGATTAAAAAATTATTCAGCTAGACTATCTTTGGCTAAGATAGATGAGTAATGGTAGATGAGTCATGTGTATTTTCTGTGGAACTGAAACAAAACTCCTATTTTCTTCATCATGTTAAATATTTCATCGGAAATTGAATTGATCAAGTTAGACATTAACACCGTTAGATACCGGCTCAGTGGCCCGGTGGTAAGGCGTTCGCCTACAATACCGAAGGTCCTGGGTTCGAATCCTGCGGGGTGCAGGAGTCGTGGATGCGCACTGCTGAGGAGTTCCATACCAGGACGAAACGGCCGTCCAGTGCTTCAAGGTTTCTAATGGTGGTCTAACATTGATCGATTCATGGTTTCAAAAAATGTGTAACTTAACAATCTTCACGACCCCGTAATACAAAGTACTTTCATGTTATTGTAAGATCAAGCAATACTGAAGTTATGCACATTATGAGAATTCGGTCAATTTCACTGAGGTATATTAACTAACATTTTTTTCATTATTGATTTTTCCCACGTAGAAAAAAAATAATAAAAGTAATGTTTATTTTAAAATTATATATTTATTTTTATATATATATATTTATGTATAGACTGAGAATTGTATAATAATCAGGGCATGGTTATTCAATCAAACAATGATATATTTTTCAAATACAAAATAAATAATTATTATCTTACATATAGAAGAGAAAAAAATCAATCATAAATTATAAATAGTTTTTTCTTATTTAAAAAAAAACAAAACAAAACCAAACTAAGCTGAACTCCTTACTAAATTTTTAATTTGTCCACTACAATAACACATGATCATTGTGTATAAGTAATAGTTTCTTTTGATGATTATAAAAATCTTTTTTTTTAGGAATACAATTAAGAGATATGTGAATTGTGCGTTTATTAATCAGTTTATAGTTGTAATTCAGTGAGGAGCAGAGGTAATAGTGAATTTTAATTGGTTAGACATACGATAAATGAGAAGAAGAAACCAGAAACCAACGGAAACACTAAACAAGAAAAATGTCCACCGATTGACATATACTTCTGTTTGTGCAAAAATGTCAATGAAATAAACTGAATTACAATAAATGATAAATAAATTGTTTAAGGCGAATTTTTTGTTTAAAGGAATGATGGTTGATGAATGCATAAATTGAAAGGAATAACAAGAAAAAAATGAAGAGTAAAATGGAATTAAGTGCAAGCGAATGACTCAAGGGAAACCGTGTCATATGATAATACTATTACTGGTATTATTACTATTATTATTATTAACAGTATTTCATTGGATGATGGATTAAATTAAGGACTTATGAAAAAATACTAATACAGATTGATTGATCTTAATTATTAATACTATTACGTAATTAATTGATTAATTTAGTAACACTCCATGATAAACCAGATTGTTGATGAAATTCCATTTTTGAAATTTTCTCAGATGGTTCCGGTGAGTAGTAGGATTTTTCTTCGGAACTTAATGAAGAATTCATCATCGACCAATCAGATTTATTCATACAACCCGATTCTAGATGTTTATTTAAATAGGATTTAAGTGCAAAATTTTTATGACATTGTTTACATTGGAATTGTTTCATACCTGAATGTGTTTGCATATGTGCTCGTAGATTAGATCGATCAGCAAATGCACGACCACAGTGTGCACAACCATATGGTTTTTCACCTGTATGAGCACGTCGATGACCTTGCAATAACCATGGTCGACTAAACGCCTTACCGCAAATATCACACTGATGTTTTAAATCATGAGTTAATAAATGCATTGACAACGCTGGCATAGATACATATGCTTTGCCACATTGTGGACATTTTCTTGCTGATTGACTGTCTAAACTACGATGTGTTTGTTTATGTCGACTTAAATTTGATGATGTTGCATAATTTTTACCACAATCTGGACAACTATAACGTTGTGTTTGTGGTTCATTCAGTGTAACTAATAAAGATGTTGAAGATGATGTAATAGATGGTAAATGAGATTTTATTAAATTATTATTCATTGTATTATTCAATACTTGTTCTTCATTGGTATAATTTGATAAATTATCAAAGGAACAAGATCTTGATAGATTAGTAGTAGTTGTGTTCGATTGTGGACTAATTAATTGTAATGATGTATCATCATCATTATGATAAGTTTGGTGTTTTTGTAATTTTGATTGTTTCACATGCGAATTTTTAATGCGTTTTCTTGATCGACCATCAGAAATGAAAAATGCATCATATGTATAGCCGACTGTTACACCAGGTTGAAAGCCTGATTTACGATTTTTAGTTTTAGTTAATTCATTTGTTGTATGCTCTTGAGGACGATGATGATGATGGTGATGATGATGATGACGAGACTTGGTCGATGTATTTCTATGACTTGCATCACTGACTACACTACCACTATTACTACAACTACTATTAAGTGTATCATTAATGTTATACAAATTATTGATACATTCAATGTGCCCTATTTCACGACTGTATTTTTCACCGATATTACTTATATTAGTATGGTTATCATTTGAGTCACTGATGTTATTACTATTTTTGCCAGCATTATTGTGATTATTATTATTATTATTATTATTACTACCGTTGTTACTAACAGTAGTGTTGACAAAGATTTCATTCAGTTTATCAGCAGCGGATATTTTCAACTTTAATAATGATGAGAAAAAATCATTGGTACTGTAATAATCATTTAATTTAATGTCAGGAAATGTCATTGTATTCGGAATAGATGATCTAGTTCTAAAATCAGTTTCCATTTGGCTAGGAATTGTTGTCATTGTTGAAAGAATCGCTGGAGAGATTGTTGTAGCTGTGGTTAATGTCGATGTTAAAAATGATGACATATTTGGATATTGTTGTACTTCACTGATAGTTTTTTGAATTGATGATTCTGACATTTCACTGGATATATTCATTTGTTGTTCAATATTATCATTACTATTATTTGTATTTATATTTGAATGTGTATCATTTGACATTAAGATACTTGGAGGATTTACTGATGTGTGTTTATTTTGACCGGCTGATATTTTATTTGATCCATTATAGGAAAGATCAATGCAACCGCCTAATACAACAGAAGTATAAATGCGAATAGTTTATCAACAACCACAACAAAATGTAGTCAATAAGAAGAATTTCGATTAGATTTAAAATTTACCTCAATTAAATTCGATGCGGACAAATATTAGCACTGACAAAAATAATTCATGTTATTGACAACTTAGGGAGTTCTCGCATCATTTAAACCCTGATAACTAATGTAAGCGTACACTAAATTGTATTGCTCAGGTATATAGATACATAAAATGATCTTTACTTGACGATGACTTGTGTAAAATTAAGAAGGCTAGTTTGTTTTCACCATACAAGCAACTACTACCAAAAAAATGGCATTGTCTCGAATTAGTATGCACTTATTTTTGTTTTAAACTGACAAATTGTTACTCAACCTATTACCATGGAATAAATCTTGAGTATTTTACCGTATATGATTGTTTATATGCTACCTGTGATACTCACACTATCGAATATGTTTACGATAAACAACGAAATTCAGATTTTGTTAATCGAATCTCTGACGTACTAATCAAAGTAGAAGGATATTCTTTTTTGAAATGCATATCAGGCAAGATGATATCATAATGTTCTAATTTTTAATTTTTTTTTACCGTATATCAGTCACGATGTCTTAAATAAATGATTTCTTGATAACCTGTGCAAACTACGATATTTATTTTAGCTAGTTTCTGTCAAATTGATGAGATGTGTAATGAACTCTTCATTTCCCAGTAAAAAAAACAGTTCATAATGTACAAAATTTTTTTTTTTCAATTTACTACAGGAATCATTTTCATTCAGATTTGTAAAAATTTATATTTGAGTACTACTCAACGATCTTCGTATGTGTTTAGGTATTTTTTTTTGTTAGAAAAAAAATTGAAAATTTAATTAAGTACTCTAACAATCTGTTTTGTTTCTTTAAATTGATATTGTTTATGTGACTCTAATGAACGCTAATCAAATTGACTTTAATATCTTGATTTATATTATGATCAGTGATCGAGAAATCTGATAATTTTTTGTTTTTTACAAATAAAACAAAAAAGAAATTAGGAAAACAATAAAGTTAATGTTCATTTACACTCAGTTGATTGACACGTTCGATAGAATATTCCAACTAAATCATAATACACAAACATTTAATCACATATGGATAAGCTTATATGAACATATGTTCATAACTTATCAGTTGATAAACTCGACTTTGTTCAATTACTTTTTTGTGTTACACCGACACCACCATCATTCTCACACGGTTTGTGATTATTTTGTACCACCCTCTTGTTGTTCCATATATAAACAGAGAGATATACACCTGTTTTTTTTTAAAAAAACTATTTACGTCTGATTAATATTCAATAAAAATTTTTTGACCCGAGAAATGAACATATTAGAAGTCGGTTCACGCGATCAACTCATATCGACAAATGAAATCATGAAGGAACGAGAGAGAGAGAGAGAATGAGGGGTAACGGGAACAAGAGGAATGGAGACAATTAACGAGTTTTACCAAAAACGACAAGAGTAAAAAAATCTTAACTGACAAAATCAAAAACAAAAAAAGAGGAGAAATATTCCAATAACTTATCGTTTACTCACAAATAAGTTAACATATGGAAAAAAGAGATGTAAATCTTTTCGAGATGTGTCGAGAGAAAGAAAAACACACAGTTGAGGAAATTACTTTTTTTCATCGAAAAATTAGACTGTCAAATTCAATTGAGATTATTGTCTCACAAGTGCATAGTTGATTTTCTCTCCTCACACCTAATCAGTATGTAGTACACAATCTGTTCAAATGAGTATAACAATGCAAACAACACAACAAAACTGAAAGATGTATTTTTTTTTAATGATACCATTAACCTAGTTTAACATACACTAGTAGCACGTACAGAACGACAGCTTGATATCTGTTGGCGTTTGCCTTATTACTTTTATACATTGTGATTGAAAAAGGAGAAATCATATTCAAATGATTCTTTTACATTCCTCCCTCCCTTCTTCTCTTGTTAATATATGTTTATACTTCTCCCAGTGTGTGGTATATAACAACACTTGAGTTAATAGAAGGGAAAAAATATGATTTTAGACGGGGGAAAGTGTTGATATTTGTTGTACGTGCGGCTTTATGTGTGTATGTAATAAACAGAGAGGAGAAAACAGTAAAGTTAACCAACAGATGGGAAGATGAAGAAAACGTAAAAAAGTTAATGAATCTTTTTTATTTCTTAATTTAGCATATTGTTACAACAAAAACCGATACACTTGTATATTTATTCATCTAGAATATCCGTTCAGTTCTTAGAATAAAATAATGACAGTGTGAGTGAGTGAGAGAGAGAGAGGAACTAGGTAAGTTCAACAGCAACCACTTGATTAAAGTGAGAAAAAGCCCTAAAGGCTGATTTTATTCATTAAACTAAAGGGATTTTTTCCTCTGTTTTAAATGAATTCACGTAATGTATATTCACATAATCCATATAAAATACTTGAGGTTTAGAAAATAAATGTTTTAATACTGTATGATTCAATTTCCGTTAAAATACACGTGTAACAAATAATGGTAAACGGATCAAATGTAATAGTATTTACATTAAAACAAAGAAAATAATATTGCTTTTATTTGAATTTTATTGAACTATTGAATTGTAACTCCGTTTGTAAGCATCTAAAGCTACCGTGAATTGATATCATTTGTATAAACATTCAAAACATTTTTAGTTAAGAAATTATTATGAGTGTATACTAATAACGTCATACAGGATCGAATACGATTCTTTCGCTGACTCTCAATTTCAACTAAAGTCATTTTTGTGACAATTCAACAATTCGTTGTGATGAAATTAGGTAAACACTATCTAATGTACTTGGTTAGATCCGACACAATTCATAAATTCTAGTCGTATCTTCAAAAAATCAATTTCAAAAATAATCACTAGTAGGCACATTATTATTATCATTACTATTATATCTTTATAAATATGTATGATTATTGATGAATAATTTTGGAATATTCTCGAATGACATGAAATTAATATACTTTAGAGAAATAAAAAAGAAATGGGAAAAATTATGCATTGTAAATGAAAAAAAACCGATCTCTAGACTTATCTAACCTTAAAAGAAAATACTAACAAATGGGGTTCTTTGTATTAATGTGATTTTTCCCCAATTTTCATTGTGAAACTCCAAGACGCATCATTGAAAAGAATATTCCTTTGTTCATATGTCCATTTCATGGGGACTTTTAACAATCTTCAAATTAATCACTGATAGATTTCTCTAGGTAACCGTGGGTTGTTTTTTAACAGATTCAAATTTAAATTTATGTTAAATGGGTTAATGTTTTTTTTCTAAAATTTTTCTTTTGCAATGCCAAAATAATTATTCTAACACAAAGCAACAATAATTTATTTTTGTTCACTGTTGTTGTTGTTGATTTTTCCATTGTTGTTATTTTGTTCATATTTTTTTTTTAAAATTTCTTTACTAAAAACAACTGAGATTCATGCGAAATGCTTCAATTGTTCATCATATTGTTCTACTTTGCACAAATATGTCTGCCTGTAAACATGTATAAATCTGTAGAGATGAAAACCTACATTGTAACACGTACATGTTATTCATTCTTCATATTTTCTTTTCATTGAAATACATACTCAACATTCTTTTTTTTTTCTTCATTATTTGAGTGAAGCATGAACATAAAAACAAGAATCATTAAAGTTTACTTGAGTAATGTTTTGTAGTTATGATGTTGAAAATAAAAGGTCATATATATATATATATATATATATATATATATATATATATATATTTGCTGAGATGTATTTATACATGTTTTGTATAACTTATATAGTTCAACTATTTAATAACTGTGTATATTTCAATACTATGTAGATATAATAAATAATAACACAACGAATTTATCAACATTCAATACCGAGGTCATATTTAGTTTTATTGATAATTTTAATCATAAAAATAATAATGGATAGGCGAAATGTACTTTAATTGCATTGTCACTATTATACTGATAAATAGTAATGATTATCTAACAAAAAAATACCGTGTGCCACACGGATACGTGTTTGTTCAGATAGATTACTCAAATATAGACATGACTATATTAAAGAAATATGGGTGAACACAAACGGATAGAACAGTTTTAGACTGACATATTCTTTAAAAAAAGAAAATTACAACTTGATATCTTTGTCAAGTTGGTTGTGTTGTTACTGTGAATTGGTGTGTACGTGTATGTATGACAGGTGAATGTGTAACCACCTGCATAGTGAATAACCGTAGAGATAAAGTAAACTGTGATAGATAAGAATAAATAGTCAATTAAATGTGAAATATTTCAATTAGATTTTTTTTTTAAAAAAAAAGTTATTTGCCAATAAACTAAATGTCACCAACAAGATGAATTGATATTAGTTATTATTTTTTTTTATTGAATCTAATTTTGAACTGTTAGTTATCTGATATTAATTGTTGTGAAAAAGTTAAAGGTTAGTACAAAACGTGAAAGAGTTATATCATAAAATTATATTTAAAAGGGTATATTCTGCAAATAAATCTCTTATCCTCTGAATAATTACATGTTAACTAGATATTAATTTCAAAATTCATTCTAGATAATTTTATTAAGTTACACTGACAGGTGTAGTTCAACTATGCTGACAGTCGTAAGGGTATCACACATCGCTACCAATATATAATACTGAATATTTTTAGTGCATGATCTGAGTGTGATAACATTTAGTTGTGAGATTTGATGTTTATGGATTCGACAGTTGGAAAGAGTATGAGTGAAAGCTACTTGGAAGTTAGAATCTAGGTTAAAGCAGTTTTCATTGTTTCGGAAATTTCTACATGGATATTGTTTATGCTAACTCATAAAACTTTGCTGTAATTAATAATCGTAATTGTATGCCTATTATTATTAGTTAGTTCAGTTGGTCGCAAATCTTTTGACCAATATCGTTAATCTTTTAT